CAAACATACACATATACACACGCGCGTACATGACAGCAATTCATAGCGTTTCTGTTGACTGTTGTTAGCATTATATGTGACATGCATCAGACCTGCAAAGGCCCATGTCTCGTCGAATTTCTACCTTTTATCCTCTTGGAATGTCATAAAAATTACATGTAAATCTTTTCAATATGGGTGATCAGAGCTAGCGTGCTGTTTCGATTTTGTATTGCACTAGTAAAAAACAGAAAATTCTAGAGCCATAAAAAGAGGAATTTTTGCGTTTCAGTGTGCAGGAGATTGCACTTAGACTTCTGAATTAAAATTTGTTCTCATACTCCTGTACAGCTTTTCCCTCAAGCCACCCGACGACGCTTGATAATATACCTATATTACTTCAGGGTTACTCATCGTGCCAACTTAACACCTAGGTCTGTGCTTGTCACTACTTATTAGTATGTTNATGGGCACCATCAGTAAAAGATTGTATATTATTTAATTAACAAATACATTTTATTTAAAAAGGCATATGTAGACTGTGTGTGGGTAACAATATACAAGTGTCAGGACTCTAACCTTGGCAATTCGGTACTGGCGATGACCAACGACCATCGGCCAAACACGTCGCTCTATTATTAACGTGTATAGGCCTTCCATTGAGACAAGAAAACTCAATTGTGGAGCCAACCGTAGTACCAGTCTTCCGAATCACCAAGTCCCTGTCTGTGGGAGACTGCTGTATGTTGGGACAAAAAACCTCTGAAATCGAATGTGCATTGCTGTGAGTAACGCGTGGTATTAGCATGAACCGATACATACCGGTAAGTGAGCCTGAGTTCATAGCAATAGCAGTAGCATTCATCTGTTCATGGTTGTGACACAAAAACATGCGCAAAATGCAGCAGTTTAAATCACTAATCCTTTTTAGTAGTAGAAAGACGAGCATATAGCAGCACAAGGACTAGGTAACGAACACGCGTAAGTACCGCATATATACTTATTTATGATGATTTAGATTTTTCTCGATGGTGGGTCCATGTAGTACCTGGGCCACGTAGCTTGCACGTGGGAACTGGCGCCGACCATGTTCCGTTATTTAGGCACACTACTTGCTCGGTGCCTTTCAGCTCCTTGCCGAACCGACAACCGAAACGTGCCATCGAGCCGGGTATTTTCGCACCCTGCCTAATGTCCAGGTCGGGATCAGCCGTCTCTAAGTGTGGACAGCGCACGGCTTTTGGGGAGAAAATTTAGAAATGCATGTGAACNTTCAGCGTCACAGGCGGCGGGATTAGCAGCGCATAGGGAACTATGAAGTTAGTTTGAATTATTAGTGGTGTTGGTGGGGGAACAGAGAGAAGCACCGCATGCATGTGAGCAGTGTTAGCAGGAGTAGATTCTATTACGCGCTGTGAACGTAGACGCCTGGCTATTTAACGTGCGTGTGTGCGTGCGTGCGTACGTATGTGTATGCGTGTTTGTGCATTTGCGTGTGTCCGCGCGCGCTCGTGCGCTCGTGCGAGCGGGTGTGTGCGTGTGATACGTACGTTCGCAGACAGGCATCGGGTGCGACCAGTGTCCTGTGTACAGACAGGCGATCTTCTCGACGCCCTTGATCATCTGGCGTCCGTCAGCGCACTCAAAGCCCACCTGCGTGCCGAGGCGCGTGTCCGAGGTGCTGATGCGAAGCCCGCTCTGATTCGGCAGGGTCTGCAGCGGCGGGCAGTTCACCGCTGCGTAGCGAGACAAATGCGGGCGGCCATGTTTGATCCGCTGACAGTTAGACGCTGATTTGCGCATCGCCATTTTACCGTTGCGATAAAACGTACGTTGTGATTATAACGGGGTAATAACTGCGCGTAAATCGCCGTCGCCGTCTGCAGCGGTGCCGGAGCAAGCAGGGCGAAACGGGAAAGCAAATGAGATTGAGTGAGCGGCGCGAGAGCCGTAGTATAGCGCCTAAAACCGCCGTTAACGACGTTACGCCGGCGTCGTCTGCGCTGGCTGACATTTACCGCAAATTGCCGAAGCGCTGTCGAAAATATGATGACACTCACCCATGATTGAAATCTGGATTTTGTGCGCGAAGCCATAGGGTGTGAGACAGGTGTACGTGCCGGAATCAACGGCCTGCGCACTGGTGATGGTGAGCCTGTACTCTAGATCTGGGTTGTCGTAGGCACCGCGCGCCCAGTCCGTAGAATATCTGAAGCCCGTCGAAAATTTGCATCGATATTACGTGTATTACACGCACACGCACACGCACGCGCACGCACACGCACACACGCACAGTCACACACACACACACACACACACACACACACACACACACACACACACGTGCGAAAACAAAATGATTTTATCCTACTGCTAGTGACATCATTAGAACAAAAATTTATATAACGTGCTATCAAACACGCGCACGCACGCACACGCCGACACGGTGGACAAACAGCACATGCACCCGCGAAGGAGTGGAGGCGTCATTTACTCTCGCAAAAGGTCAAATTTCAAAGGCTTCAATGCGTAGCATTACGTCTCTCTGCCACTGGTCCAGCTCCAGCGAGGTTTGCCATTGCGCCGCATGAAGAGGCAGTCGAGAAAGAGCATTGTGCCTGGGTAGACGATCAATGTACCGTCGTTTGTGACGGCAGTTGCTCCGTGCTGCTGACTGAACTTAATTTGGGGTGGCGAGTTAGCTGCAAAATAAAATTAGGTAGGAGGAAATTAAAGGCTGTGCTATTCTAGTGAGTGTCAACATCCTTAATTGTCATCAGGTTGAGCAGCATATTCGCAGTAACACATCCCCTATATTTCTAGCGTAGTAAGCAATATATACTTAAGAAAGTGACCAATTGAGTTCCCCATCTAATCAGCACAAACCAATGTACGATTGTCAACATTCACATGACAATGTGGAATGTAGTGCCACATACTGGTTAGACGGGGTTTAATGCGATTTTGCGCCGCTAAAAAATTAGGAACAAGCGTCAGAGCTCTGCCTGCCGTAGAAGCAATTTTTCTGATTTGTGGAATTTAGGTTAGTTGAGCCAAGAGAAACACTCTGAAAGATTGTATCCTGGACATACCTCCTTTAAGTTTCAATCGTCCATACAAGCAACAATGCATCAACAACTAAATCTCGCGTCTCGCATCCTACCTTCTTCCGTGAGAATTCTACACGAAGGCATCACTCCCTGCCATTTGCCATTCCTGCACACGACCCTCCTGTCACCGATGATCTCGAACTTTCCGATGTCGTTGCAGCGAAACACGATGTCCGTGCCGTGTGGGAATAGCGTCTCACAGCAGGTGAGCTGCGTACCGTTCGCGTAGGCCACCACGTTGTCCTTGGCGCCAATGTACGCGCAGGGCTGGTAAGGCAACACCTGCGTTGGACCTAAATGCGAACATTTTATCAGACGTTTTAGCGTTTTATTACACGCAGGCGAAGAATAAGCGAGCTCTCTAATATTTCTAATGTTGGCGTTATTGATTTTGAATTTACCTTTCGGTTGACTTCGTTTGGCACGCGGATATAATTAGCCTCTGTGATGAACATGCGCTGTTTTATTTCATGTTTTTCTAATGCACGATTAATAATGCATGCGTAAGGTAAATAAATTATAAAGCATTGGCTTAAAATACAGGTACCGCCTTACATGTTTTCTAACATTACTAAACTGTTCTAGCAGAACATGCGTTATGTTCACCTTGATATCTAGGCACGAGATGGGGTTTCCACATATGCATTAGTTCCATGCGCGAGTTTCCAGTAATATACAGATAGTCCACTCATGTAAAATGACGCCCTTCACCGAAATCTTGCCAAGCTCCTTCTACATGTAAGTTATCGTTAACGTATGGAATTCTAGCGCAATAACCCCACGCACGAAACCAGTTACAAAAGATGTTTAGTGGCCTGTACGTTTATCGTATGTATATTACCTGCCTGTCAATATATTCGAATTTAGCACCATCCATTATCTATACACGTATTTATCGATGCTAATGCCATTAGGGCTTCCGCGGAATAGCGCACGACAAGGAACATTTCAGGCGTCTGCAACTGCAGCAGCTGCGTTGCCAGCATAAAGTAATTCTTTTCGCACTTCTACAGCAGTCGCGCACAAGGCATACAGGAAATGTATGCATCCAGCTCGGCGTTTTAGCAGTAGCGACTACTCTCTTTCTCTCACTCGCGCTCTCTCTCTCTCTCTCTCTCTCTCTCTCTCTCTCTCTCTCTCTCTCTCTCTCTCTCGCGCGCCCTCTCTTTTTCTCTCTTTCTCTCTCTCTCCCTCTCTCTATCTCTCTCTCTCGTGGCAGGTCCCCAAGCTGCGTATGTCGCGTCCAGCGGCGTGTATTTATGCATTCGCGCCTGCTCTGCAAATGGTATAGACGGCGGTCACGTGATCTGACGTCGGGGCCGACGTCCTCGTCGCCGCGTATTTGCGCGTTATTTCCTCCCGTTGCCCCGAAACCGGCGCAACGAAAACATCGCGAGGAAATTTTCCGCGCGAGAGGACTTGAATGATATTCTATTACGCCAATCAACTTGCGTTATGCGATCAGTCCATTCCTGATATCTGCTGTCATCGGCAGGCGGTCCGGTAATCGCAGCACGAGAGAGCGAGAAAGCGGCTATAGCTACAGCCCCGTGTGTACCGGCGGCTCGATTTCCCCGCGGATGTTGTACATAATATCGTAATCCATTCCGCAAGCCGCGTGAGCGTGTGTATGTATGTAAGAAATATTATTGCATAATATCAAGAGCGTCTTTAGTATGCTTAATACGCTCTTGATAATATATATAATGTGAATACGTGTGTGCGTACGCGTGTGCGTGCATGCGTGCGCTTGTGCGTAAATGCGTATGAGTATGCGTGCGTCTATTTATACATTAGTCAGTCCATCCACCCGCCCGCGCGTCCGTCTGTCCGCATGCCCGTTCAACCATTCATTCGTCCACTCACGAATCCGTTACATACACCTGACTATCTATCCATTCATTCATCTATCATACGCACGGATGCACGCACGCACACGCACATACACACGCACGCACACGCACATACACACGCACGCACGCACACACGCAGGAGGCCTCAATAGGTATATAGCCGCATTGATGTGCATGCATTACGAATTGTAAGCGAGATTGAGCCACTCCTGCATGCTGCTTCACGGTGTGATTGCTTTACGTATTTTGTTTTAACGCTTGTGGCTATTTATTGACCCGCGGCAACCCTTTGAAGGCATAGCTTGCTGTTGTTGACCTAGCCTTAAACATTCGCCCACGGAACATGTCTGATTTAGATACTTCAAAGAAATTTCAGCATAGCGCCTAGAGGTGTACCGAAAATATCATACCATTGAAGTTTTCTGTCTGGTTTCCATTTCGCTTGGCAATAACTGTGCTCCTGAAATAAATATAGTGCTTCGGCGACGAACTGCAAAGAAATATCGACTGAAAATAAATTGAACAAACGCGGCGCCAACTCACCTCTAGAGGGCGCTCTGTCGCACCGCGGGGTGGCGCTGCTCCACCGCCCGTCGAGGCGGCACGTCAGCACGTCTTCACCGATGCGCGTGTAGCCGCTGTCGCAGTAGACAGCTATCATGACGCCAGCACGGAAGTCGCGATACTCCGGTCGTATCATCTTCACGGCGCCATTAGCGATGGTCAGTATTGGATCACAGAGGACTACGACACGCAGAGAGGAAAAAAAACAAAAAAACTCGCGGTAAACTTTGGAGCGAGAACGAGAACGTATACCTTTGTATTTTCTATTGTCGCCCTTTGTTAATGTCGTTTTCGTCGAATCTCTGCTATACCAATGATCGGGAATACATACAAAATAGTTCTGTTCAATATTTGTAATGAATAGAAATGTAATGTAACAATGATGATTATCGAACAAAATTAAAAAATAGCAATCGTTAAATTTAGTATTAGGTAACGCCGAGACGGCCACTAATTACCCAGTGACTCATAGAAGAGTTCTCATGCACACCATTACGTCACAAAACGCGCACGGATTAATCGACGTGAGATCGCCAACGCTGCGAGGTGAACNGATTATCGAACAAAATTAAAAAATAGCAATCGTTAAATTTAGTATTAGGTAACGCCGAGACGGCCACTAATTAACCAGTGACTCATAGAAGAGTTCTCATGCACACCATTACGTCACAAAACGCGCACGGATTAATCGACGTGAGATCGCCAACGCTGCGACACGTACCGAGTCTGCATGTGGGTGGTTGACTGTCCCAGGAGCCCTTTCGGCACGTGATCTCCCTGCTGCCCACCAGCCGGTGTCCATCCGACCTGCACGTGAACGTCATGCGGCTGCCATCCGGGTACGTTTCGCGATCCTCGGGCGCCGCCGACGTCACCTCGACCCCCGGGGTCACATCCGGCGGAAGGCACGATCCTGAAGCACGAGGTGGGGTGGGCGATTTTTATCTAGCGATAAGGGTGCGAGCGCCGCGGCGTCGCAGAATCGATGACGAGGCGTTCGTAATTAAAAGATGAAACGAGGTAATCACGTGATTGATTGCGACCGTTTTTGCTAATTTTACGCGCATTGCTTTCGTCTCTCCGTGTGATTATCTCATTATCTCATCCAGTGCGCGTGCACCGACGTCGCGCGCCCCGGCCACACCGAGCCGACCGCACCAGGGGGCGCCGCTAATCGCTGCGTACTCACTCCACACGCAGCGCGGCGCGGCCGGCGTGAAGCTGCCGAAGTTGCACGTGACGTCGGCGTGATTCTTCTCGTAGGCGTCGTGGCAGTGGAAGGCGACGGGTGTCTGCGACGAGATGTTCTGGTTTGCGAACTGGCCGTTAGCGTACCAGCCCTGAGGCGAGATCGACGGCAATCGACACTGACCTGCGATACATAAAGGAGTGCGCATGCACGCATCCGCCGCGGCTCCGGGGGACATAGAAGGCAATCGTGTGTATACAGGCGCGATCGCGAACGCGCTCGCATGCGCTCGTTTCATTGCTCTGCGTCGCGTGCGACATGCTTGAGCAGCCGGTGGGCGTTGGTAGATGCCACTAGCGGCTTCAGGATTCCTCCTCGGATGTGCGCTGTGCGTTTGACAGCCTTCACAACAACGGTTTCGTATCAGAAATCCAACAAATTCTGCCTCGACTGCCCATGCAGTTTTACAATAGAGACGCTGACGCGATGATGCTGCGATCATTGAGTAGAAATTCTCTGGCAAATTTTACAACCGAATCGCGTGCACACACGGTCAAGTAGTTTCTACCTCCTGCATTGCCAGGCACACAGGACGCGTAGAACGGCGGAACCCATTTGCCAGAGTCGCATGTGTAGTGAGTCATGCCCTTTACGGTGAAATGTTCCAAGCATCTGTGGATTGAATTGGGGGTAAAATCAGCCCTACCCGCATAAATGTAGTATAATAAACTCGGAAAAGGGCAGTCACGCAATTATTAGGCAAGTAAGGACAGATCTGTTGTATGCACGTGGCTCGTTTCATCACCGACAGACGTTAAAACATTCGCAACAATTCATTCATCGTATCTCGCTGTGACAACGGATGCAGTCGGCGAGAGTAATTATTTTCAAGAATTGCCGGATCTAACGGGGAAGAGAGAGGTAGAGTTAGACGACAGAGAGAGAGAGAGAGAGAGAGAGAGAGAGAGAGAGAGAGAGAGAGAGAGAGAGAGAGAGAGAGAGAGAGAGAGAGAGAGAGAGA